TGTTCCGAACACATAAAGAGCTCCGACAACTCAACAATAAAAAGATAATCCAATTAAAAAATGGGCAAAGGACTTGAATAGGTATTTCTCAAAAAAAAAAAATACAAATGTCCAATAAGCACATGAAAAGATGTTCAACGTTGTTAGTTGTTACGGAAATGCAAATCAAAACCACAATGAAATACCACTTCACACCCACTAAGACAGCTATTATCAAAAGAGAGGAAAACAGCCAAGTGTTGGTGAGGATGTGGAGAAAGTGGAACCCTGGTCAATTGCTGGTGGGAATGTAAAATGGTGCCAACAGCTGTAGAAAACAGTCTGGCAGTGCCTCAAAAAATTAAATACAGAATTATCACATGACTGAGCAAATCCACTCCTAGGTATACACCCAAAAGACCTGACAGTAGGGACTCAAAGGGGTACTTGTATAACAATGTTCATCGCAGCATTATTCTTAATAGCCTCAAATAGGAAATAACCCAAATGTCTGTCAACTGCTGAATGGAGAAACAAAATGTGGTATAGCCATACGATGGAGTGTCACTCAGCCCTAACGAGAAATGAAGATTTCTGATACACACCACAACCTGGCTGAACCTTGAAAACATCATGCTAAGTGAAATATGCCAGACAGAAAGGGACAGACACGGTGCGATTCCACTTGTACGGGATACTCAGAACAGGCAAATGCACGGAGACAGAAAACCGACGGGTGGTCACCGTGGGCTGGAGACAGGGGTGAGGGGAACTGATGCTGAGTCCGTACAGAATTTCTGGTTCAGGTGAAAAGAAAGTTTTAAGAACAACTAGTGGTGACAGTTGCACAACCCCGTAAACGTAACGAACGCCACTGAACCGCACACTTTAAAAATGGTTAGAGAGGCAAATTCTGTGCTATGTATATTTTACACAGAAAGGACAACGGTGTAACATATTCAACATGGTGAATGAAAGCAAGTATCAGTCCATAAAACAAAGTTAAAGAACAACATGAGGAGACTAAAGGAATTAACACCCACAGCCTTGCTCCAAGGAACCTGAAGAAGCACTTCAGCGCAAAGAGAAATAAACCCAGAAAAAAGGCATGAGATTCAAGAAGCAACAGTAAATACAGAATTTGGAAATTTTTTTGGTAAATCATCAAGCGCAAAAGTAGGAGCATCTGTTAAATTGCGTTTTTTAATAAAAGAACTAAACTTCTAGACACAAACAATAAGGGAAATTAGAAGAGGAGTTTGTTTACTCGTAGAAAAAGTGTCCTGGGTGGTGCGAATGGTTAATGCTCTTAGCTGCTAACTAAAAGGCCGGAGGTCTGAGTTCACCCAGAGGTGACTTGGAAGAAAGGCTTGGTGATCTACTTCTGAAAAATCGGCCACTGAAAACGCTGTGGAGCCCAGTTTTACTCTGACACACATGGGGCCACCAACAGTGAGGATCAACTTGACAGACTGGTTTTCAAAGTGTACTAAGGTCCTTGTTTTGCTTAGACCCGTTGCCGTCAAGTCCATTCCGACTCACAGCGACCCTACAGGATGGAGGAGAACTGCCCCATAGGGTTTCCAAGAAACAGCTGGTGGATTCGAACTGCCAACCTCTTGGTGAGCAGTCAAACTCTTAACCACTGCGCCACCAGGGCTCCTGTCTTGCTTAGAAGGTAAAATACTGAATAGCTCTAGACTTTGCTAGACAATTTTAGAGGTGATTATTAAAACATTGATATCAAAATCAGAAAAGGGAAGTATTTTTTCAAAAAGCCATATGATTTAGCTTCCAAGGGCTGAGAGTAATTCTCTACAGCTTGATCCACCCTCTGGGCCCTGGGAGGCAGCCCATTCCTCCCAGTCCTCAGGAAGCCGCCACAGTCAGACCATTTCCTGCCTGTAGAATCCCAGAAGTTTGACAGCCTTCCTTCATTTCATCCTGTCTCTGTCCCCTTCAGCCCAAGCTGGCAGTGCTCCTGGTAGTACAACATTCTCGAAAACCCTGTCTGACTTCCATGGATGTCAAGGGGATCCAGGCCATCAGACATGATCATTCTCCAGAGATCCTTCCTGGATTAAAAAAAATAAACCCACTGCCATCAAGCTGATTTCAACTCATGGTGACCCCATGTGTTTACAGGGTAAAACTGCTCCATTGGGTTTTCTTGGCTGTAATCTTTATGGAAGCCACTGGGTGGGTTCAAACTGCCTACTTTTACATTAGCAGCTGATTGTAAACTACCTCTGCCACCCAGGGACCTTCCTTCCTAGATAACTCCATCTGTTCTTGGCCTCTGCTTAGACGCCTGATTGGATCCAGAAGTCACACAACTAATCTCTTCACAAACGGGTATCCAGTCTCACCTGTGTCCCTTTTTCCAGAGCGTACCTTGGCATCATTTGCAATATGGACAGGCTGAAATTTTTCCAAATCAAATTTTGGTTTTGTGGGGTTTTTTTCCTTAACAATTCCTTTTTCAATTTATCTTTTTACTCTTGCACATTAGCATAAGCAGCATGGAGAAACCAGGCCATGCCTTCAACATTTCATTTGGGAATCACCTCAGCTACATATCCAAGTTCATCACTTACAAGTTCTACTCTCCATTCAACAAAAGAACACGATTCAAGCAAGCTTTCTGCCACTTTATCACAAGGATTGTATTTCCTCCAATCTCCATTAGCATGTCCCTCATTTTCTCCTAATATGTCATCAGAAGCACTTTAATGTTCAGATTCCTAGCAACATTCTGTTCATGACAATTCTCTAAGATGACAGAAAGCCTGACAGTAACAAATGTTGGCAAACTGTGGGGAAAGAGGAATTTTCATACACTGCTGGTGGAAATGTAACTGATACAACCACTCAGGAGGGGCAGTGAAGCTTCAATGTGATAAAGCTGAACAGGAACGAACCTCATGATCCAGAAACCCTGCTTCTAAGAACCTACCCATACTTACAGCATACAAGGAGACAGGTCTAAGAATGTGGACTGCAACACGGTCTGTCACAGCAAGAAGAGAAACAAGCCAGTGTCTCTCAGTAGAGGAATGGATAAACAGAGATATATTCATATACTAGAATATCATAAAATAGCTAAATGAATAGAGAGCTATGTGTTATCACACCATAGACAAATCTTGATTAACAGTATTGAAGGGGAAAAATAAATTGCAGAACAATGCGATCAGTATGATACAATTTATATGAAAATTTAAGAACAAGTACCATACATTGTTTCTAGACACATCCTATAAAGTAAAAGCATAAAAACACAAGTAGGAAGGATCCACACAGCCTGAGGATAGTGGTTACTTCTGAGGTGAGAGGGAGTGGAACGGGAGGGGGAAGGGGTACATTTCGGCTGTATTCATACATTTGAGTTCCTAAAAAGGGGCAAAATAAGTATGGTAGAATGTGAATAGTCTTTAAATATGGGTGATAGGTATAAGATGGTCATTAGGTCATACTCCATATTTTCTATATGTCTGAAATATTCAAAAAGGACCCCTGGGGGCACAGTGGTTAAGTGCTGAACTGCCAACCAGAAAGAGAAACAAGCATAGAATGGATGAGAGCAAAGGTGGAAGTAGGAAGGACTTCTAGAAAGTATCTACAGAAACCCTGGCTAGTGAGATGGCGACCTAGAATAGAGGTGGTAACAGAGATAGAGAGAAGATGATTATGTGAGACTATATTTCAAAGGGATAATTTATAGAACCTGCTGATGGGCTGGATATGAGGGGTTAGGCAGAAGAAAGACTCCAGGCTGACTTCCGGCTAGAGCAATATTTAGGCAGAGATACCATTTATCGAGATGGGAGAACTGAGACGGAACCAGTTAGACGACATGAAAGAATCCTATTCTACGTTCATCTCTCTCGTCTCCTACTCAGACAAAAGCAGAGTATGGGTAGATTCTTGTCTGCTCTATCTCTGTAACCCCCAAAGTTCCTAACATAACTATGCTGAATCAATGTTCTATGCATTGCCTTAGTACTAAATTTTGAAAACAAGACAGCCCCCATTGAAAGTGTCAGCTGTCAAAGAAATTTGCTATCACTTTAATATTACAATAGCCAAAACAACAAACAAACTTTCAAGAGGTTTCCACAAAAGCTTTCCCACGCAGCCTATTCACGTTTAGGTCATATACAAAGTTATACTTTCCACTTCCATCTTAAAGCCATTTTAATTAGTTTCATATGATTCTCTTAATAATCTATTTTTTGTAGTTGAGAATATACACAGTAAAACATACACCAGTTCAACAATTTCTACATGTACAATTCAATGACCCCGACTGCATTGTCCAAGTTGTATGACCGTTCTCGCCCTCCTTTTCTGAGTTGTTCCTCCCCTGTTAACATAAACTCACTGGCCCCTAAGTTTCCTATCTACTCTTTTTTAAAAAAAATACACATATATTTTACTGTGCTTTAGGTGCAAGTTTACCCAGCCAGTTAGATTCCCACTCACCAATTCACACGTAAATTGTTCCGTGATGTTGGTTACAATCCTACAATGTGTCAGCACTCTCCCCATTTCCACCTCGCCTGCCCCGTTTCTATCCCTCCAGTTTCCCTGCCCCTCCTGCCTTCTCATCTCTGCTGTGATGTAATTTTTTTTTTTAAATTGAATTTTACTTGTAAACAATGAGAAACCACTGAAGGTTACTGCTCAGGGAGTGACACCATGACATGGGCTTTAATAATACAACTTTGTCTGTAACACAAAGAACAGATACTGTCAACAGAAATTAGAGACGGGAGGGTGTCAACACCTGTCAGGAGAGAGCTTTATGGAAGCCCAGACTCACAGGTCCTACCCTGGAGATTCTGATTCTGGCTTAGAGGAAGGCCTTTTTTAGTGAAGAGCCAACAACCGGTATCTGGTAGCGATTAGAGCTTCAGAGAAAAGGTATCCTTGATGCTGACACTGTTAGGAGACTATCAGACACCCATAAAAATCATAAGCCGATACTTTATTGTTACCACAAATGAAAATTGACTCACCTGGATTGGGGTCATATTTTAGGTCCAGTGGATGTACGACAGGCTGGTACTGCTTCTAAACACAATATAAATTAAACAGATGACAGTAACGATTTAATCACTTAACATCTCAGGTGAACATTTCCTTCAGCTACTGTAAGCAAAGACACTACACAGTCAGTACTGCCATACTTTTGCAATCAGTCAGTCTCTCTCTGTCTCTCTACACATAATCAGATCCTGTAATCTGTTGGTAGGGCAGGGAGAGAAAAAGAAGATAACGCAGTCAAACTAAAGCCTAAATTACACCTTCTACAGTATTGGCACCTACTGCATACACTAAGAAATGCAGCATAAAAAAATTACAATCTGAAAAAGCAACAAGCAAATTGAAGACAGGGACTGAATTCTGTGTTTGAAGTACAGAGTGTTTCAAAAGTTAAGCCAAGCGTTTAGAACTCAGAACTTACATTCCCCCAGAATGGTAAGATACCATGTCAGCACACTACAGCCTACCTATCCTATGATACACCAGAACCACAGGGACAGGATCTACACTCAGGCAAGAGGAAAGAGGGCAGTGTTCCTCCTCGCCCTTGCCCAGAGCCAGCAGGAGCCGTCTTTAATAACCTGACCCCCCGTTTGGCATCAACTTTTCAAGCTCCCACCACAGCACTGCCTCACGCAGGCTTGCCAACTTTCGTTCTTTTATGCAATACTGACTACCAGTTGTTTTGTTTTGTTTGGGGGAGGCGGGGGGAGGCAGTAGAGAGGGAGATGGGAGATACCGGAAAATACATTTTGAATGTCTTTCATGAAGAAACTTAAAAAAAGGAGAGGGGGATATTTCTTTGAGCAATAACTACCAAAGAGGCAGACAAAAACTTCTGATTATGAACTTTTTTTTTCCCCACACAGAATGACTAAACTGATTTAGATAAAGTATTAAGCCTGGCCTCTACTGCCCTAAAACAATTCCTGAAAGGAAGGCAATGAGAAGATTTACACGTGGAACTACAGCACCTTCAGAAACTGAGGACAAACCAGGACAGCGCCATCTAAAAGCAACGGGCCGGCCACTCACGGGCAGGGTCAGTGACCCATTGTTGGTGGACATCTTGTCTGTTTTTGATTTCGACACTGATTTACTCCAGTCCTACCAATCCTGAACAGATAGGATGTGGTATGGACGGTCACGGAGACCTAGAGTCTTTATAAATAGGAAGCAAGCCCGCCGCTCTGCTTGTCTACAAACATGAAGGCTGAGGAGCTGACTGGTTCTTCCTGGTCTTGTGACCAATACAGTCACAACTTTTGCAGCAAAACAAATTAAACACAATTTACAAAGCAAATCCCAGTGTTATGAACAGGTACTGAAACAATCTCCATCATCAATTTAACCAGATCTTCCAAAACACAGGCAGCCACCAGATTACAAACAAGTTCCATTCCTAAGTCTGTCTTTAAGTCAAATTTGTACGTTAAGTCGGAACAGCTAGGTATGGTTCAAATCTAACGTTAGTCAAATGTTTATCTTAGTATATAGAGTGCCTTTCTATGCATAAAAAAATTAAAGAAACACTTCCAGATACACTAGAATATCTGTAACATAATAATAGTGTAATGATGTTTTGATGCTCATTGCAAAGTAGCCCGTTTGTTATTAAGAACCACTGTATGTACCTCCAGTGTTCACTATAACAGGCTTTATGGGGGTTGGTTCCTAACTATGGGCTGTGCCTAAGTCAGAGGTTTGTAACCCAGGGACTGCCTGCATACAAACATATATAAATAACATGCCAAACATAAATGACAAAGAGAAAGAAAAGGATTAAAAGAAATTTCCTTTCCTGGTCTCAGAATTATAAAGGTGTTTAGAGTCTTTTATTTTCAATTCCTATTTTATTTTTTTAATTGATGTAATTAAATGAAGTTTACACTTCAAGTTAGTCTGCCATACAGACTTTTTTTCTTTTTTTAGCATACATTGTTATGAGACCCCAACCGCTCACCCCATTCTGCGACAGCACACTCCTCCCCTCCGCCCGATTCCCCATGAACATTCAACTAGCTCCTAACTCTCTCTGCCTTCCCCTCTCACCTCTGGACAGAAGCCCCCTCTTTGGTCTCTTGTATCTACTTGTCTAAGAGGCACATTCTTCACGAGTATCACTTTATGTCCCACAGTCCAGTCTAATCCCTGTCTGAAGAGTTAGCCTCGGAAATTTAGTTCTGGGGGGATAGAGAGACCAGGGGCCATGCCTTCCGGGGCGCCTCCAGTCTTAGACCATTAAGTCTGGTCTTCTTACTAGAATTTGAGTTCTGCATCCCATCGTTCTACTGCTGTATCAGGGACCCTCTGTTGTGTTCCCTGTCAGGACGTTCATTGGTGGTAGCCGGGCACCATCTAGTTCTTCTGGTCTCAGGCTGATGAAGTCTCTGGTTTATGTGGCCTTTTCTGTCTCTTGGGCTAATACTTTCCTTGTGTCTTTGGTGTTCTTCATTCTCCTTTACTCCAAGTGGTTGGGACCAAATGATGCATCTTAGATGGCCGCTTGCAAGCTTTTAAGACCCCAGATGCCGCTCACCAAAGTAGGATGCAGAACATTTTCTTAATAAGGTTTGTTATGCCAATTGACATAGATGTCCCCTGAAAGCATGGTCGCCAGACCCCACATCCCTGCTACTCTGTCTCTCAAAGTATTTGATTGTATTGAGGAAACTTCTTAGCTTTGGTTCAATTCCTATTCTAATATCAGCTGTGTTCAAAACCTAATGTGACTTAGAACAGAAAAAAGTCTTACAAAAGACAAACAATAGTTATTGAGGAAGGAAAAACAAAGACAAAAAAAATATCATTTATCTCCACAGGGACCTTATACTTCAATTTAAAAAATAAATCATCTTACCAGAATTTCCTGTTTTGCTTTTATGGTTTTGATGACACATTCAAGGATCTTTCTGGGATACTGCTTACGTTTCATGGCTATATCTACTATGATTTCATCAAATTGATCTTCAAGTACTTTGATGTCAGAATCTGTTTCAGAAAAAAAAAAAAAATGTCTAAAAAATTCCTTAAAATGCATTGTTTACATTCTATATGAAAATGTGATGTAAATAAAACGACATTCAGAAAACACAAAACAATTAAGAAAAACAAACATGTCAAGTTAATGGATGCTCCCACTTTGGTGACTGATTCATTTCCTCATTGAAAATAAATTATTGAGTACCCAAGGCACACCAGGCAAAGAAATACAAAGATGACAATAACACAATTTTTTGCTTTCTAAAAGCTCACAGTCCACTGGAAGAAACAGACAGAAAACTCCAAGTCAACCTGATAAATGCAACAGAGCTATGCACAAAACCCACTCAAGACAAAGAACAGTGGACACTCACTTGGCCTGGGGAATTGAGGACCTTACAGAGGAAGTGACATTTGAGCTGGGCCTTGAAATACAAGTGTAAAACCACTGGATAAGGAACGCTAGGGAAAATAATGGTCAGGAGAAACATTTCAGGCAGACGAAACAGCATCTGCAAGACCACAGAGTCACTGGGGAACAGAAAAAATTTCTAAATGGCTGCAGGATAAAGCACAAGGAAAAAAGGATGATAAAATACGTAAGAATTAGACTGTTAGTAACGAGTTGAACAAAAGCTGTGGCAGCAACAATGAGTGGAGTACCTGGATCTGAAATAGGACTCAACTGGACAGACGGTGGGAAAAAAGAAAGACAAGGTGACATTAGTTTCCTTGATTTAGCTAAACTTATTTTATCAGATGCTTTCCTATGTTTTAAAATAGTGATTTTCAAGCTTTAGCAGAACTAATAATTAGCTGGGGAGCTTGTTAGAAGTGCAAAAATGCCGATTTAGTAGGTCTGGAAGGGACCCAGAAACCAAGCACCCCAGATAAAACCAACGCAAGTGACACACCAGTCTTATTTTGAAAATCACTTTAAAGAGTAATAAATACTCGACCAGTTGTTGTTGACTCACAGCAACCCCATGTGTGCCAGAGAAGAACTGTGTGCCAGAGGGTTTTCTTTCTTTTTTTTTTAATTGTACTTTAATGAAAGTTTACAGAACAAATAGTTTCTCATTAAACAGTTAGTACATATTGTTTTATGACAACGGTTAACAACCCCACGACATGGCCACACTGTCCCTTCTCAACCTTGAGTTCCCTATTACCAGCTTTCCTGTCCCTTCCTGCCTTCTTGGCCTTGTCTCTGGACTGTTGTGTCCCCAGGGCTTTCAATGGCTGATTTTTCAGAAGCAGATCACCAGGCCTTTCTTCAGAGGTGCCTGAGGGAACTTGAAACACCAACCTTTCAGTTAGCAGCTGGGTGTGTTAACTGTTTGCACCACCCATGGGATGACAAATACTTAGTTACAAATACTAAAGAGCTAGGTCCTTGGACTAACTGGTCTACATCATACCTGTTCTGCTATGTCAAAGTCTACGCTAGAAATAGATCTGTTTACTTTAGTGAGTACAGATTTTAGCAGGGAGAAATCTAAAACACTTTATATATATATACAATTTTTTGAGACTTTGCTGGCATATATCAACATATATATGGGTATATATCAATAGAGACTAACTAGGTACATCAGATGTGGTCTTTCATTCACATAACAAATATTAATCAAGTCCAATTAATTACTTTAGGGTATTATGAAGAACGAACAAATCAGTCTTGGAAGAAGTACAACCAGAATGCTCCTTAGAAACAAGGATGGCGAGACTTTGTCTCACGTACTTTGGACGTGTTATCAGGAGGGATCAGTCCCTGCAGAAGGACGTCACGCTTGGTAAAGTAGAGGGTCAGCAAAAAAGGAGGACCCTCAACGAGATGGACTGACACAGTGGCTGCAACAACGGGCTCAAGCACAGCCATGATTGTGAGGATGGCGCAGGACCGGGCAGTGTTTCGTTCTGTTGTCCATGGGGTCGCTATGAGTCGGAACTGACAAAACAGCACCCAACAACGACAACGAGAGGTACAGTCATTTCTTACTTTGGATACTCATTTAAATAAGCAGTCCTCCCCAAATTTTAATTTATCCATTAAAAAGGTTAAAATGTGCCGACCGATCACCAGCCTGAAAAGAATAATGTACCATTTTGTTGCTGCTGCTGCTGTCAGCCCAACTCATGGTGACCCCACGCACAGTGGGACAAAATGCTACCTGGTCCTGCCCCGTCCTCATGATTGCTTCAGGACAGGATCATTGTGATCCATAAGGTTTTCACTGGCTGATTTCTGGAAGCAGATCACCAGGCCTTTCTTCCAAGTCCATTTTAGTCTGGAAGCTCCTCTGAAACCTGCTCAGCATCACAGCAACCTGCAAACCTCCACTGGCGGACAGGTGATGGCTGTGCATGAGGTGCACGGGGTGGGAACTGAACCCAGGTCTCTGGTGTGGACGGCAAGAGTTCTACCACTGAACCACCAACACTTCTACGCTGCATTATTTCACAATCCGCTAAAAAAAGAGTCTCCCTCCTAAATCTTCTTTGTAGGGAGGAAAATGGTTTCCTAGCGCCACCTATTGATATATCTACAAAATTGACTTTATAAGCAAATTTGAGCAGGAAAGAATTCTTCATTCATTTAACAAGTATTTAGTGGGTCCCTACTATGTGCAAATCTAAGCGCTGAGAAGAGAGTGATATGAAAAACAGATCTCGTCCCTGCTCTCAAAGAGCTCACATTTCACGTCTTAGATGTGCCTGGTCACGCGTCCTGGAATTGTCCCTTCACGGCAGTTACGGGGGCAGAGCGAAGGGCTGGTTTCACTTACATATTCGTTCCTTCATACACTGACCTCGCATGCCAGCTACTTGGAAATCTCAGTGAACAAAGCAGACAAAAACCTCTGCCCTTTTAAAGCTCACTTACTGCTTGTCTGCATCGCAACCAACACCACCATTGCTGTCGAGTCAATTCTGACTCAAAGCGACCCTAACTGCCTCAGAGGGTTTCCAAGGAGCAGCTGGTGGATTCGAACTGCCAGCCTTTTGGTTAGCAGCCGTCGCTCATAACCACTATGCCACCAGGGTATCAAAACCTATTAATTCCATCTTCTGAGTGTCTCTTGAACGTGTCTTGTCCTTTCCTTTCACACTGTCTGAGTGCAGACCTTCATCTTTTGCTGGACTTTGGTATAACCTCCCTAAGGTCTGCCTGCCTGGAACTTTTCTCTTCTCCAATCCATCCCCCACAAGCAGTCAGCATTCTCAAACACAAACCTTTTCATGCAATTCTACTTTAAACACCTTCATGGGTTCCCCACTGCCTATAGGATTAAGTGCAAATTCCTTAGCATATCCTACAAGGCTCTTTATGATCCGGCCCCACCTTATCTTTCTGGCCACATTCACCGTTAGTTTTCCCAATTCTGACATTTCCCAAACACTGTCATTCCCTTGTGCCTACGCATTTTTGCTGTATTCTTTGCTTCACATGTCCTCCCTACCTCCTTTCTGTCTACCACACTCTCATTTATTAAATGCATTTAATTTAACAACAACCTAGTCTGTTAGATCTTCTCCCACTTCCCAAAGTGAGAAGTGATTCCTTATACATTTCCTTCTATGAACAAAGAGCTCCTAGAAGGTAAGGACTGTGTCTTTTCATCTATTTCCCAGCATCTGACACAGTGCCTGGCGTCTAGCAAGTGCTCATGAAAGACGGTGAAAGCACAGTACTCTGAATCATCTCCCCTCACAGTTATAACCACACTTCTCCCAGCTACTAAACTGTTGGAAAATACATTTCTTAATCTACAAATTGATGAACCATGCTATAAAAGGCACCCTGGGACCAAACAAAAAGGCAATTCCAAAATGGTTTCACAGAACAAGAGTCAGATACAGACACAGTGAAAGGCTGTGACATTCGAAACACTCCTGGGTGATTCTGATACTCTACCTATCCCCTACTAACTGGCAATCACTTTGATAGTATTTGGCAAACATGATGTTATTGTTTTCATTCTTTTAATACGTAAACAGCAGTCAAGAAATCAAACGATGTATTGCACTGGGCAAATCTGCTGCAAAAGACCTCTTCAAAGTGTTCAAAAACAAAAATGTCACTTCAAGGACTAACGTACGCCTGACCCAAGCCATGGTGTTTTCAATCGCCTCATATGCATTGAAAGCTGGACAATGACTCAGGATCGAAGAAGAAATTGATGCCTTTGAATTACGGTGTTGGCGAAGAACACTGAATATACCATGGACTGCCAGAAGAACGAACAAATCCGTCTTGGAAGAAGTACAGCCAGAACGCTCCTTAGAAGCAAGGATGGCGAGACTTCGTCTCACATACTTTGGACTTGTTATCAGGAGGGCCCAGTCCCTGGAGAAGGACATCATGCTTGGTAAAGCAGAAGGTCAGTGAAACAGAGGAAGACCCTCAACGAGATGGACTGACACGGTGGCTGCGACAATGGGCTCAAGCACAGCAACGACTGTGAGGATGGTGCAGGACCGGGCCGTGTCTCCTGCTGTTGTACAAAGGGTCGCTACGAGTCGGAACTGACTCCACAGCACCTAACAACAACACGTACACCATAATGTGAATTTCGGTGACTTTGGAGAGATAACTATAATACTCCCAAGGACTGAACAGTGAAGTGGTCTGGGCAAAGTATTATCTTAACGTTGAGAAGATAAATTATGACCACAGAGAGTGGCTTGGTGGGCTTGGAATCAGCTCAAGGATAACTGGGAAACCTGAACAGCTAGACATGACATCAAACTATGCTGGTCAGATCCAGGTAACACGATCGTGGGGACAAACAAGACACTCTCACCCCTCGTCAGGGCGGCCCTTCTCCTGGACATTGCGGGGTTGGCACTGGGGAATTCGGACTCTCTCCTCACACTGACCATTTCCTTTCTACTCAGTTTTTTCTTCCTGACACTGACCATTCTCTATTAAAACTTTGGTTTCTTTAGATATGTCAACACCATACATTAGGGTAAAATCAAGTCTGCTTTGGACCAACAAAATCCTGTCTTTTTAAGAAGCTTTCTACAAGTACTTCACCTCATTCCTTACATGGACGTTTACAGTTTAACTTTACACTTCTAAGGGTACTATAGCAATGCTTGTGAGGATGGCACAGGACCGGGCAGTGTTTCGTTCTGTTGTACAGAGGGCCGCTATGAGTCAGAATCAACTGGATGGCACCTAACAACAATAAGGGTACTTCATTTTCCACTGTAAGGGCCACTTGTAAAAATACAACTTGAAGTATTAATCCTAGGAATTCCTTGGACCTGTTTCTTTATCTGGGGATATTTCTCCAGAATTTTTCAATTAACTACTGATAAGGGTATTTTTGAAAATTGATCAAATGGAAGTTCTTTTGAGAATGCAAGATAGTATATATGGGGGATCAAGTACCCACTGTGCTGCTGCCCTCAGATTATAGCCTTCTAGATTAGCCTCCTTATTTTTTCCCCAGTAAAGGGCTTTTTTTAAAAAAAAACAAAAAAAAAGAAGTGACACGAAAACGGGGATTAAAAAATAGCATTCAAACTAAAATTAGCTACAAAAATGACTGAGAAATGACAGAAAGGAAAATTAACACGTACCCATAGAACAATTCTCTGAAGCTTCCTGCCACGCTCCCCCGTTAATGCTGACATTCTCTTGCACAGCTGATTCAAAAGTCTGCAACAAATTCACAACAGTCAAATTACTAAAAACAACTTCAAATACTGAATCCAAACACTTTGGCAAAATAACAATTTCAGATTTGTGACAGAGAATATAAAGAAAAGTGGGACTTGAACATTATGCTCTTTTAAGAACTATCTATATGGAATCAAAGTGACAACAGCAACTCGAAAGATTAGTTAGGAACCTTAGGGGGCAGTGAGTTTATGTTAATGGAGGAGGAACAACTCAGAAAAGCAGGATGAGAATGCTGTACAACTCAAAGAACGTAATCACTGTCACTGAACTATGTACACAGAAACAGCAGAATTGGTGCATGTTTTGCTGTATATACTCTAACAACAAAAAAATAAAATTTAGAAAAAAAACAAGTGGCAGATCAGTTTATTAGTATATTTACTATTTTCAATGAAGTAACAGTCCATTTCAATCATTGATTCTACCTGTATTTTAGCTCTCACAGCCATTACACTACCGGTGAGAACATTTGACGCAAAATTTTAGAATATTCCTGTAAACGAACAAAAAATATTTACTACTTAAATGAAAGAAAAAAGAAATAAAAGCCAAAAAACGTGGACTCAGCTGAACCTCAGGGGTACAAGCACTATAGACGCTGCTGAATGAGTGTCATGTTAACAACAGAGGGAAAACATGCACTTCAAGAGTGAAGCTCATTTCCACTTTATAAAGAGCTCCAGTTTTTAAAGATGCATACTGAAACATGTCGTGTGACCTGTGATTTGCTTTAAAATACTTCAGTAACAACAAAGAAAGAGTGAAGCTCATTTCCACTTTATAAAGAGCTCCAGTTTTTAAAGATGCATACTGAAACATGTCGTGTGACCTGTGATTTGCTTTAAAATACTTCAGTAACAACAAAGAAAGTAGAGGATAGTTGAAGTGAGTGTAACTGTGTTTTGATAACTATTAGATATGAGGATGGGTATATATATTGGTGTCCACTATACTGATCTTTTTTTTTAGGTGGGATTAAAAGTGTTCATAACACATTTTTTAAAAATGAAGCACTAAAGGAATTTAGCAGGACCGTTAAAATTTTAAAAGCACACTGTTATTAACCAACAATTTCAGTTCTAACAATGTACCCTAAAGGACCATTCGCATAAAAACATAAAAAAATTAGTACTACAGGAATGTTCATTTTAGCACTGTTTGAAATAATAAAAAATTGAGGAAAAAAATAACAAAATCTAAATTAGGACAATGGTTAAATAAACTCAAACACAGTCATACCACGCAGCACTTAGAAAGAATGAAGTACATCTCTACATCACAATGACAAGGAAATGGCTGGAGATATTTTGGTGAGAAAAGCAGGCTGCTAACACTTGAGCACACTATTAATGTTTAAGAAGAAGAAGAAAAAAAGACATAGAAAGCTATAAAGAAGAATGTAGAAAGATTACCCACCTCAAATGCTCCCCAAAAAAGTTATCTCCAGAAAAGAAGGGTGATGGGGAATGAGAATTCAAAGGAGACTTCTGCTCTGTGCTATTGTTTGAATTTTTCACAATGAGAGTGTATTTTGTACCATCTGTATAATTAAAAGTAAGTACAGATCAAATAAAGGGGCACTAGTGGCACAGTGGTTAAGCGCTCAGCTGCTAACCAAAAGGTCTGTGGTTCTAACTCACTAGCTACTCTGCAGGAAAAAGATATGGCAGTCTGCTTTTGTAAAGATTACAGCCTTAGAAGCCCTATGGAGTAGTTCTAGTCTGTCCTTTAGGGTCACTATGAGTCAGAATTGGCTGGAAGGCAACAACGGGTATAGATCAAATAAGGACTGCTCACCGTGAGTTAAAGTACATATTCTACACTTTTCTTTAAAGATTTTATAAAGCAAAATCCTTACTTTATGTATAGACTTTCAAGGGTTACCTGAGAATACAAATTATCTTTGTAATATTTATTGCACAGTTCTACCAATACTACTTTTTTTTAATATAGCCTACTATATTATGAGTCAATCCAGTGTCAGTCCATAACAATGATCACGAGGCTGGCGCAGGACTGGGCAGTGTCTCGTTCTGTTGTACACAGGGTTGCTGTGAGTCTGATTCAACTCCATGGCCCCTAACAATAATGACACAACATGCAGTTTTAGACAGAGACACATTTGCGTAATTAAAACCTCTGCCTTTTATCTGTTCTACTAATTATAATAAAACAGTAATGAATTCCCTTAGTAGTCTATGTCTTCAAATCTTTCTCTTCTAATTCACTTTACTGTCCCATTAAATAAAGTTTGAGTTCATGATGTTAAGCTGAGTTCCTCTTTTTCTGTAAGGTAACTAATGTTTTAAGTACTTTAGCACTTCTTGGGGGAAACCCTCGTGGCGTAGTGGTTAAAAGCTACGGCTGCTAACCACAAGGTCAGCAGTTCGAATCCACCAGGCACTCCTTGGAAACCCTACGGAGCAGTTCTGCTCTGTCCTATAAGGTCGCTATGAGTTGGAACTGACTCGACAGCAACGGTTCTGGGTTTAGCACTTCTTGGACGGGGTAAATTCTAAGATCATTATATAACAAGAGTCTTCTCTGAAAAAACTACTAGACAACTTCCTGAAGTACGTCTCCATTCTTGCCTTGCTCGCAAGGAGAGAATGAATGTAACAGCCACTGTTGACAAAAGTGGAATTCAGAATCCCTACTCAGGGAGTGTCTATTAATCCTTTCACTTAACCTTTATTTTTATTGTCTGCACTGTGATCATTCCTACTCACAAGTGTGCTGCATTATAAGCTTTGTTTTTCTACATATATATGTTATGTGTTCCTTGTAACAGGCACCAATCCCTCAATTTACTGTGTCTTCCTTCAAAAAACTATCTTCTTCAGGACTTTGCAAAATATTTGAGAAAAGCGGGGGAAGTGTGCCTAAGGCGCAGGGTATGGTCTTAGATAGTGACGTTTATAACCCAGACAGCTTCCTGACCTGTTTCAGACTGGTAGGGAAAGCATTTTCACCCTCTTTACATCATGTTCTAAGACAGGCAAAAGAAAGAGCAAAATCAAGCCAGGTGACTGACTTCCAGGGATACCCTTCCGAGGAGGACTCTTCATAGTGTCTACATCTGGGCTATCCAATAGGGTAAACGCTAGCCGCGTTGTGGCTACTAAGCACTTAAAATGTCTATACTAAAATGTGCTGTCGATGTACGACACCAGGTTTCAAACACTTCGTAGGAATAAAAGAACGTAAAATACCCTGTAATTTCTATATTATTACATATTGAAATACTAGCTTGTCTATACTGCATTAACTAAAATATACTACTAAAATTAATTTCACCTATTTCTTCTAATTTTTTTAATTTAAAATTGTACACTTAGAGGTGGGACCAAGATGGCAGAGTAGTCAGACGTTTCCGGTGGACCCTCTTACAACAAAGACCCAAAAAAACAAGTGATTCGATTATATATAGCAATCTGAGAGCCCTGAACATCAAAGGCAGAGTTAAAAACCGGACTGAGTGGCAGGGGGAGGGACAGATGGGTGGGAAGCAGCAAGGAGTTGCCAGACCTGACCCGGTGAGCCCTTCAACCCTCATCAGTTCGAGGGTGAGCGGTGAGGCAGGCAAGCAGCGGTGCTTGGGAGGCGCATTTTCCGCACCAGGAGAGACCCAGCGCCAGAGAGTCTACATGGCCACCCAGAACCAGTGAGAAGCAGCCCTGGACTGGTAAAAGATAAGTACTTCCTATCGGCCTACCGCACAGATCAACAACACCCCCCTTAGGGAAAAATCTCTCTGCCATTTACCCCCCAACTCCCTGCTCTGCACTGGGTCCCAGACTGGCTTCAGCAACTGCTGAGTCCCCTGGGCCAGAAGCAGTATCCGTCACATGCCCTGAGCCATTCTCCCAGCCTTGGAGAGTGAACAAATTAACAAACAGAGGAAAAAATAAACTGCTGGCTCCCCTAAGCCAGGAACCCAGGGTAGGCACAGCTCCTTTGCCTAGGCACAGGCATAAGGGATCCATGGACTTTGAGTGCTTTTCCCCCTGCATAGACTTGTGTGGGCCCATCTCAACAGCATAGGCCCTCATTACTGCAGTACAACAGGGTCTATACCGGAAGTCTAACTTCAACTGTTTCAGCTGTGAAGTGGCAGGTTCGTGACATTTGACAACTGCTCTGCCCATTAAGCGGGGTCTTCACCTACCTACATCAGAGGCCTGAGGACTGGTGGCTCCACCCAAGCCACCTGCGATAAGGGCCCATGAATAAGAGGTGCTCCCCAGTCCTTACAGCCAACAGCATTAGGGGCTCACAGTCCGGCTGTAAAACCCACCCACCTACGCGCTCTAGGGAACAGAGACAGGCCTTCCTCCCGGACACTCAGGGGCGGCTGTCAGCCCCGTGCCTTGCTCAGTGTGTCCTCCTGCTGCAGCCAGATGCCTGCGCCTACACCAATCACCCATGCCTGTCTAGGACTGTAAGTGAGAGCCTACACCACACACTTGGTGGCTATCTACCTGGCACCTAAGCTGAATCCATACAGGAGGAATGGGTACACTCCTGAGGTCACATAACTAGTAACAGATCTAACCACCTGGTGACAGGACATTAGAGCTTCAAAGGTGCCAATAATCAAACTAGCTCATATAAGCGCCCTATTTGGGCATATCAAAACAAAATAAGAAGCTAGGACACAGTAAGCAAACATAAAATAAATAAAAATAATAACTTATTGATGACTCGAAGACAACATTCAATATTAAATCACATAAAGAGGCAATCCATGACGGTTTCAGCAAGCTCCCAAAATAAAGAATCTAGAAATTTACTAGCGGAGGAAAGTTTCTTGTAATTGCTGGAGGCAGAACACAAAAGATTAATATACAGAACTCTTCAAGATATTTGGAAGGAAATTAAGCAAAACACAGAACACGAAATAGAGGAAATTAAAAAGATTAGAGAAGAGCATCATGACAAATTTAACAGGCTGCAAGAATCCACAGAAAGACAGC